ATCTCTTGATTATGTAAGGGATTTAATTTTTGGCAATTGCTAAATCATTTTTTTTTTAAAAAAAAGAGTTATTATGAGAAAATTGAATTCTAAAAAACATGTGTGTATATTTTGTAAACATTTATACTCAAAATTTTATTTTGAATTTCATTACATAAAGAAGACTATTTCTATAACATTTATAAATAATAATAATGACATTATATGACTATAAATTTTATAATAAAATAATAATTGAGTATTATATGGTGAACAAGAATAAATAAAATTTTTATTTTTTCTTATATCAATGAATAAATATGTTTTTTAAAATCAAATAAATATATTAGTATGACGTGTTAGCGGAATTATATATTAATTAACATGTTAATTTTGGCTTAAATAAATGCCACTTATTAAAAGATGTGAAATATGGATGATCCAAGTCTATTGTTTTTTTGTCTAGACGTACAAGTCCTATAAAAATAATTGATTTATTACATGTATCACGTGCATCGCACGAGGTATGCACTAATAATAAGGAAAAGAGCAATTGCAAATCTCTATTGAAGTAGTCTATATTAAAACTTAAACAGCATATAATTAAGGTTAGATTGAACCGCCATTGTAGTTATCGAGAGCAAATTAAATAGCATTAAGTACCAACAGAGGTTGGCTCGTAAGAAATTTGATATCACTTAAGTAAGGTTTCAGGTTCAAGTCCTTATGAATGCAGAAAACCTTGTTGGGAGATTCACCCACTATTGTCAGGTGTGCGACTCGAGTCGAACAACAAATTAGTTGGGGCAAAGCTCCGAAGACCGTGACTGGCTACCAAAAAAATAGCATGAAGAATCCTAGTGATATTGGTGAACAAGGATTATTAGTTAACTATTTAGATTCGTTAGATGAAGATTATGTTAATTGTCCTATGTATCAATTGAGTAGGCAGGTTAGATGGTCCAACTTAGAGGTTCGTGTTTTTCTTCCATACTAAATTTTATAAGCAATTAATTAATTAGACCACCAAAAGTCATATGTTGGGTCACATAACACTAACTGATATATAGGTGAAAATACCCAACTGAAACCGATCAAAATAAAATAAAATAAATAAATAAAGTACTTAAATGGGATCTACACAAACCCCCCCCAAAAAAAAAAAAAGAACATTTATCTAAATTTTGAATAAATTATGAAGTACATTATTAAATCACGAAATCGAACAGTATAACACCCTTGTAAATAGTTCGTATTAACACGTGTCCACTATGTGCAGAGGAGCATTACTCTATATTTCTATTAGAACAAACTAGTTTAATCTCTCAATGTGACAAAGATGAAGATGTAAGAGTAAAATGTTGTTGTGCCATACCCATGTCAGCATTCTAGTTTACTATTTTCAAATGGGCTCATTTGGTAAGTGAAATAAAATAAGAAGCTTAAGCAAAGTTAGGTGACCCAACTTAGCAAATGTATAGTGTTTGTAACAAGATTATTCAATCCATGTTCAATTCACACTCAAAATATAATTTAATTTTAACTCAACCCTACTATCCTCAACTGAAGTTAACCATTAGTCAACGTTTTTTTTCCAGTTGTTCGCGCTACGTTTACTCTACATAAATATTTACATTTTATTCTTTTTTTTTTAAATTAATTTTAGTGCCAAAAAATATTTAATGAAATGCATTATTACAAATATTTAGAGCTTGTTTTTCTATAATTTTTTTTTTTTCACTTTATACGTAATCCATACTCAAAATCTAATTATACTTAATTCCAATTCCACTATCCTCAATACAATAAATATTATTAAATAATATCAATTAATCATTTTTAAACATTCGCTCACATAATTTTAACTAACTATCATTTCACATCACTTCTCTCATACTTTTACATCAAATCTATTTTAATTATTTTATTTTAAATATTATTTTAATATAAACTCAAAATGACACTAATAATTAATCGTATCATCTTTGTAAAACCTAACCGTGGATAAAAAGAAAAAAAAAAAGCAGATGTACATGTTCCAAAGTCTAAACACGCCATTCGTTATTTAGATTGTCAAGATAGAATGAAAAAAATATAATAAATACAACATTATTAACATCAAGATTATTTTATTTATTAGAAGATTCATCATGTATTTTCTACATCAAGATTATTTTATTTGGTAAAAGATTAATCAAGTATTTCCTACAACATTAAGAAATTTCTAGTGCATTCTCAATAGATAATCTAAATCATTACTAACAAAATATATATAGATGTCAAGATTATTATGTTACCATCAATATATATTTATGAATGTAAACGATATTTTGTTTTTTTTGGTACAGGAACCTTTCGGTTTTCAGATCCACAGGGGAATCGACTAATCCGAAATCAAGCTGGGTAGGACCACAATGACGGCAAAGCTCTCCCTCAAAAGTTTTAACACTGCTGCATTCTCAGGGCTCGAACACGAGACCACTAATTAATCTGGAAGAGACCCAAGCCATCTCATTCAAGCGCTCTTGGGTTAAACGTTATTTTGTTTAATAAAAAATATTCAAGATTATTACTAGTATAAAAAAACTATACATATTATATAATATTTATGTTAAAAGATTTTGATATTGTACTATTGAAATTTACAAAATAAAATCGAAAATAAAGGATTGAGTTAAAACCGCCGTTTTTTTTTTTTAATTGTTAAAAAGATGAAGAAAACATACTTACTCTTGTCAAGTTTTTGAGTGAAGGGCTTAATTTAATTATTAAAAAAAATTAGAAAAAAATACATTTAATACTCTAAGGTGATGTAAAAACAATTAAGCATTTATATAGCTTAGTGAATTGAACATTTTTTCAGTTTTGCAAATAATTAGAATGTATATTTTTTCTATCATCGATCATAGTATTATGTATCCGATAATGATTTTGCTAATATCGACCATTATATGTCACTTGTGAATCATCCCATTATAAGTAAATGAGTCTGGTTTATAAGTCTATGGCTACTCCTCCAGTCATCAATTGATTTTGGGATGGAACCTCACTAAAGTGCTACTAGGCTCATCCTCTTATGGTGCACTTCACTGTGTGGAACCGCACCCCTGATGCCCCGATTATCAAAATTTGACATGGTATCAGAGCGGGCCTAATTTGGAACCTGCGATGATTTAAAAAAAAAAAATGTACCCAGCCTGGTTGTAGGCTCGGGCTTATAAATTATGATGATGAAAATGTACTCGACATGGTTGTAGGTTTGGGCTGATGAATGACTCACAAGTGAGGGGGCGTGTTGGAGTGTCACTTATGAGTCGCCTCACATTGATTTGATAGGGTAACTGAGTCTGATTTATAAGCCTAGTGGCTCCCATCACCATTTGGTTTTGAGAGGAACCTCACTAAGGTGCAACTAGACTCATCCTCTTATGGTGCGCTTTACTGTGTGGGACCGCACCCCTGATGCCCCTGTTGATACATATTCGCGAAATTTGATCAACAGCCCCGACTGTCAAAATTTGACACATTAATGTATATTTTTCTCAAATGCAATATTTAAGCATACATACTCTATACTGTGATAGTTTGAACGACATCATGTATAGTCCCGTCGAATTTGAACGACCATGATTTTTATAATTCTCATATGCATGATATTGGTAGGATATGAGTCCCTTATCGAGCTGGAGTTCGTTTATCAATATTTACGAACCGAACGATAAAATATTATATAAAAAAATTATTTTCAAATACTAATGAGTCGAGCTCGGCTCGTTAACTAAACGAACTCTTTATGAGCTCAATTTGCTTTAAAGGAGTCGAGCCGAAGTCATGGGCGACTCGTTTCTTTTTACAGTTATATGCCCAACATATATAAAACTCAAACATGCACACGAAAACGAGCATCTTATTAATTTATTTTTACCAAATCAAGACGAGAAATCCAGAAAGTCTTCATACAAATAAGAGAATTAAAAGGTCTTTATTTATTTATTTTATGATAACCATTAGAAAACCTTTGATTATCATATGTTATTGGGAAGGGTGATGTTGCATAGTTTCTTCAAATTAAATGGGCGGATGTTATTGGGCCCACCGGCCCACAGGGCTTTGGAGATGAACTTGTACGCGGACTCTGTTGGGTGGAAATAATCCCAAAATAAGTGATCGTTTGGGCTTTTGCACAATGTGTAGCCTTCCATTCCACATTGTAATTCTCCTCCCAATTTCCCATATCCACAGCATGCATTTTCTATATCATTAAATCCTGCAATTCATGTAATTTATTGAAATTTATTAGATATGATCACATGGTTTAGAGGTGGAAATTTTGTGGAAAATTTAAATATAGGCAAAAATTGTAATTTTAGTCCTGTTAGTTTGATCCAGTGGCTTTTTCAATTTTAAGAATTGTACATTTTTGTAATTTGGTCCTATGAATTTAAAATTCATTGATGTAATTTCAGTCATTTGGGACTAAAAATGCAACGAAATTTAAAATTATAGGACTTAAAATTGCTAATAAAAAATCTTTTAGATGAATTTTTTATTAGCAATCTAAGTTCTTTAATTTTAAATTTTGTTGCAATCAAAATACTAAATTACAGGATTAAAAGACAAAAAATTGAAATCTTGAAACTAAAAGTGCTACAGCGTTAAACCAGCAGGACTGAAAACGCAATTTTACCTTTAAATAATAATAAAATGAAGAAGTTGCTCCAGAAAAGGGTTCATACCGTAGTGCTTAGGATTGGTTTGAAGAATATGAAATATTTCATAAGTAGCTCCGAAAACTCCGATCGCACCCGAGTACTTCACCGGAAAACTTGTCACTATATTTTCGAGGCCCGTATTGAAAACCTTGACCATTCTATTCATCTTGCCATAGCACTTTCTTACAGGTGCACCAGGCAAAAGTGCTCGGGCCGGAATACAGCCCACCGGGCCTAGGCCGAAAAGGGAAATCCGTCGGGCCCCGAGCTTGTAAATCGTGTCCACAAAGTCTTCAACTTGGGCCACCATGGATTGCACGTAGGCGTTGGGTGTCAATGTGGGAGGGTCGAATGGATTAATTATGAAGTAGCCGAAAAGGTCGTTATTGCCCGATTGTATGAAGAAGAGTGAGTCGCGTACGAGCTTCTTGTCGATTCGATTTTGTTCGACTAGTGTTTTGAATTGTTGAAGTTGGACTTGGATTGGTATGACACCCTACTCATGAACATGAAAAGATGGTTAAATGGGTGAATATGAGGGGTTTTCTATTTTAGGTGAATATAAATATATAATAATAAGCTAGCTTATAACTTTATTTAATCAGTTTATAATTTTTTTGCATTTTAAATAAATTTAGTAATTACTTTTTCCCAAGTAGTAAACCAATATTATTTCCAAGTAGTTACTTTTTTTTTTAATCGTTAATTTAAATTTTAATGGATAAAGAAACAAAATTTCTCCACTCACCCCACTAGAAACAAATATTATATTAAAAACAAAATAAAGAAGCTTCATGCCCTCCCCTCAAAATAGAGTATTTCCACTTATCTTCTGACTTAAAAAAACCAATGTTATCAAAATCAGTCCGACCGGGAACCGGACCTCATAGCGGTTCGGTTTGAGGTATAGACCTCTGGGGCCCGTAATCGGTCAAAAACCGCCTAAACCGGTCAAAAACCGTTAAAACCGGTGAATCGGTAGCGGTTCATACGGCCCAGCGGTCAGGTAATTTTCATGTCCTAAAGTGGTTGTCAAACTAGCTGAAATTTTATTTTATTTCTGTCAATCCGATGTAGATTTTACATAGCAAATAAAATAATGACTGTCCCACTTTATTGAGCAGCGGGCCTGCTTCCAGTTAGGAAAAAGAAAAGGACAATATTAATGTTTGCTTTGGGCCCAATTTACTGTTTCTTTGGGCCAATTTTAAAAAAAAAACTTATCGTTTAAAAAAGGTACTTTTTGCCCAATTTAATGTTTGATTTGGGGCTGAAATGACTACATAAACCTCCTAAAGCTTATTGGGAGTTGAACCATTATTTTATTTGGGTTTTACTTGTGCTCAAAGGGACAAATTTGGTTAGACATTACACATTATTCTTACAAAATATGGTCATTACATAAACATGTAAACAATTTTTTTCCTTTTATTTATTTAGACAAATGTTATTATAGGTTATAAAATTAATGATAAAAATATATACAATTATATATTACACATATAAAATAATTAAAAATTAATATTAATTAAACGATTCGACCGGTTCAACCACTGGTCCGACCAGTGAACCATTGGCCCGGGAGCTTCACCGGTTCGATGACCGGTCCGATTTTGACAACCTTGAAAAAAACCCCTTAAAAATATATTTGTTAAAGTGTTCAGGCGAACTCTCTTAAAAAACGGGTATAATTTATACCCACACTACAATTATTACCGTTCAGTTCACATATAATTTGACCAATAATAGTCTGAACTATTGGTGTTGGCTAGGGGTGAGTGAAAGGTCGATACGGTTGGGAGATTACGAAATCTCCGAAACTATACATAGACTAAGAAATAACTAAAATTAAATATTTAGAATTGTATCAAAAAATTCGTTCTTCTCGATTAGGAGATTTTTTTTTTCTGTACGGTTCGGTTGGGTATTCTGGACAATTTGGTTTAGTTCGGAGCTCTAGATATTTCTAATTATTTTAATTTTTTTTTGAATGGCTTTCTAATATATTTAAATTTTGATATTTTTTATTAAAAAATTTCAACATTCATCATTAATTTATCATATTAAATATTTTATTCGAAACCCCAACTTTAGAAAAATTGAAGTAGCTCAAAATTTTATATAAGACCAAAATTTGTGGAACTCATGATGAACATTTGATATCCAAATAAAATATATTATTTTTTGAAGTATTTCTTTGACATTTCGTACATTTTAATTATAAGATGGAGTATGACTAAGAAAAATATTAAAAAATAATATGAAAAATACATTTTTTAGTTAATTGTAGACCGAGTATTATTAGAGATGGATTTAAGTGGTTTAATTGTTATTACTATACGTTATTAAGATTTTAAAAATACTCAAATTATATAGGATTTAAGTTGATATAAAATCTATGAACAAGACATGTATAATACAATAATCGGTTCCTCGATTCGTACAGTATGAGGTGCTTCGATTCGGTTCTAGGTAAGGACATTTGTGAAATATCCATAACGGTACCAATTATTTTATCGGTTCAGTTCGAAAAAAATCAAACGGTCAACGAATATTTTTCAGTTCAGAGTGAATTCGGTTTTTGGTTTTCGAAATTCTTCGAGTCCCATATTCCGCCCTAATATCAGTGTCCTATTCCAAACTAATAAGGTCGAATTTTTTCAATTTACATTATATACTTTCCCCTCTTAACTCCTAATTCATTATTTACTTCATCTAATCCATTTAACAACTAATTAACACACATCTAATTTATAAGCATGAATAATGATCAATATCTTACGTATTCACTATTTGTGGCCGGAAGAACACCGCTGCCGGCGCTGGCGAAGTTGATTCCGTTAGTCGGAAAGTTCTTCCGAGTCCCGTTCGCGATCTCATGCTCTATCTCCAACAATGGCTTTTGCAAAGGTAATTCCAAAAATTCAGCTGCCATTCATGAAATTCATTACCACAATTTCCCAAGTTTTTTTCATGCTACCAAAAAAAGTACTTAGTAAATAATTAAAATAATATAACAATCACACCAATCAGTGTGTGTGTGTGGACTTACAAATGAAGTCGGATACAGTTCTGCCATCAGTGAACCGTCCGGTCGGATGGTGAAAAAAAGTGATGCCGTAGGGAGGAAAATCAGCCTGCACAGTGCAGTTCGGGATGAAACGATTGTTGCCCGCATCGATAGTCGAATCCCCAAAGATAAAAATCCCGGGGACATTATTCGACCCGACCGCACACCTTAGATGGGCGTAAAAGAAAATCAACACAAGAAAATGTACTCTCTCCATCTCTTTCTCTCTTTTCTTGAAGTTGTGCCATTGTTAACTGAAAGTTTTCGTGTATTTATCGAAAAAAAAAAAGGAGGTGATTAGAAGACAAAGGGTATGAAACAAATTACACGTTTTTAATGCACGGATGAATGCATGGCCAAACAACACTGATAATGGCAGGGACCATCCGCCTCAGCATTTTTTGAACTCTTCTCATTTGTGCTGCACTCGTTTTCTTCATTGCCAAACAAAATTATTGACGGTGTTATAGCATAATTATGTCGAGTTATCGGAGAAACTGTTATTCAACATTTAGGGAGGAATTAATGTGTTTCATCATAAGCTATGCATGGGCGTAGCCAGAAAAAATTTTAACCCGGAAATGCATATTATTGTAGCTATTATTGGAATCGAGTACACATAGTCATGGGCGCCGGTCCGTCCCGAACCGGCACAAACCGGTCGGTTGACCATGGGTCTTGAACCGGCCCGTGATTTTGACCAGTCTGGTTCATGTTCAATACTTTATAGTTTATACATTTCGAATCGGCGGTTTCGATTTCGAACTGGAACCGGAACCAGAGGTTCCGTCTTTATTTTTTAAAATAGTAATATCTTTTAATTATAATTATTTCATTTAATGAAACACGCCGCTAAGAGCCGACAACTCAATGAAATAGGAAGTGCATATGTTTGGGCTGGTGATTTCAACCCAGAACCGATTTTGCCATGACTAGAACCAAATGATTATATAACATACTCCGGTTCGAATTGAAAATTCAATCTCCATTTGTTTATATAGAAATAGCAAAATAATCTATCACTGTAATTAATTAAACACAGTCAAGTACGTAGGGGGATAGATATAAGTCATGCATGTGAAGTGCTTATTTTAATTATTAAAAAAATAAGAAAAAAACAATTAATACTCTAATGTGATGTAAAAACAATTAAGCATGTGTATAGCTTAGTGAATTTGGATATTTTTCCACTCATTCTCAAGCACGTGAATTAGAACATTTTTTTTTCAGTTTTGCAAATAATTAGAATGAATATTTTTTCTATCATCGGCCAAACAACATTGATGATGGCAGGACCATCCGCCTCAGCATTTTTTGAACTTTTCTCATTTGTCCTGCTCTTGTTCTTTTCATTGCCATATTTATTTTTTGGCGTCAACCACAATAATGGGACGGTGTTACAGTGTAATTTTGTTGATTTAGGAGAAACTATTATTCAATATTTAGGGAGGAATTAACGTATTTTATAAGGTATGCATCGATATAAAAAGATCGTCGATCGACCTCAAATGAGAGATCGACACGGCGATAAAGAAGCAACGAGAGTGCATATATTGGGGGATTTTTATTTCTCATTTTTCATATGTGACCTGTTATGAACCTTAGGGGCTCAATTTATGCATGAAAAATGTAGACGAATAATTACGACTATGAATCAACTAAGAGTGTAGGGAGATGATACGTGTCTCCATGTAAAAACTGTCGTGTCATTTTAATGATGTGAATGATTGATTAATCGCTTTTATAATTTTATTTATCAAATTTCGTTTACACTGCAGAGAGATGTACAATTTTCAGATGGAAGGAATAGAAACAGACCGGTGTCGATTTGAATATGGACCGGTACAACATTAGTAATATCACTACAAGAAAATGATGATATTCCAACGGAAATATATTCCAATAGAATTATTTTAACGGCATTCCAATGGATATTTCAATGCTATTATTTCCATTGGAAATTTTCAATGGATTTCAATGGAAATTCTAACAGAAAAATTCCGTTGGAATGAGTTTTCCATTGAAATTTTCGTTGGATTTTGACGATTCCAACGCTCCAACGGGGTTGGAAAAAAAATTCTAACGGAAATTGCATATTCCTACGATAAAAAGCCATGGAATCATCAAATTCCATCTAAAATTTCAATGACAAATACATTCCAACGAAATATTTCCGTTGGAATTTCTGTTGGAATCATTCCAACGGAAGCTATACCATTGGAATATCAGTTGAAACTTCCATTGAAATATATTACCATAGGATTTTCCCTTGGAATATAATAATTTTTTTGGTAGTGTATGGCTTATTGGTATTCTTTTTTACAATTTTAGGCCCATTAATAGGCAAGCCTAATTTTCATTGTGGCTTACGCATTTCTAGACTTAGTGGGCCGACCCAAAACGTGTAAGCGATTTTTATGTATAACAAGGAGGCCCCTAGATTTCTAAGATCGCCAGACGGTCATGTACTTGGGAAGCTGTGTGCCAATTTATTGAACTTTTGATGGGGTGGGGCGTATGAGATCGTCAATTTCCTTAGGCACAAACCGTCGGTTTCACCTAGGAGTGAGATCGTCATATTTGAAAATTTCACGAGCAAGTACTTTTGTTTTTCCTTCTTATTCTTCTTAAATTTAATAGGAATGTCTGAGAGCAGCGGTTACGACATGAATTTGGTAAATGTTGTGTTGGCGGGCGATCGGGCATATCAGGTGAGGGAGGCGATCTTGACATGAGCAACGTTCGAGATATGCAAGAGCAAATAGAAGAGGATATAGTGGGGTCGACCAACGATCACCGGCATAAGAATCATTTTATTGTCATTCGTCATTTTTACGTAAATTTTAAAGTGACTTTCATGCTCGTTTTATCGTAGTTTGACAACTAATTAATTATTTAATTTTAATAAGCCGCGAATAAGGTTTGTGTTTTGAAAGAAACATGGTTGAACATTGTCGAGAAAGTGTTTTTATGCAAGGACGACAGAAAAAAATAAAACGGGCCAAATATCTACGGTGAAGGGGTAGGAGATGAACCGGGACCCAATTGGACCCATTGGTGCGATCCTAGACCCACCTGAACCCATGGGCTGGGGACAGACCAAGCACTCAGTCACGGCTCGTTGGGACTTGTTGTTCTTGCCCGCAATTGTGCAAAAATCTTTCACATTTCATTTTGGCCACACAACGACCTTTTCCCGGCGAGATTTCATCGAACGATGTTCAATATTAAGAAAGTAGGCTCACAGAGCTATTCAACCATGTAATTATTTTCTCCACCAGGTATCACGAAACATGCCTCCAAAGTCTGGTGATTGTCGAATGTAGTTGTTTTGGAGTTGCAACAAGGCTCACACGAGTCGTGTGATCCATAATCACATGAGTTGTGTGACTTAGTCGGTTCGATGCGTTTTTCTTTTTTCAATGTGTTTTTCAACCTATTTTGAGGAGAATTCAACTCCAACTATTTAAAAAACACTTAGGCATGAGTTTTTGGGAGTTTTCATAGTTTTAGAGAGTTTTAAAGGCTAGGAACATCCGCGAGACGAGTGAGAAATCGGAAAGAAAAGATTGACGGAGTCGAATAAGTTTTTTTTTTATTTTTTTTTTCTCTTTCGAACTCAGTGTTCTATAATTTTTTTTTTCTATTTAGGAAGCATGTTGCTACTCTAATTTATCTTATATTTTAGGATTTGTTAGTACTCGGATTGATTTATGATCTAGTTTTTATTATTTTCACTCCCGGTTATCTTTCGTTTACGAATTTCTTGTGCTTATTTTTATGTATGAGTAGATGACAACTATGATTGCATATTTGATCAATTTGAGACTAATAGAAGATAATTGATTACCAGAATTACGAAATTTGTAATGTAATAAACAAATCGGAGGTTAATGGAATCTTATGAGAGATCGAAAATTCTAGAAACTTACGGAGTTAGTTGTTCATATTGAGACCGAGGGGAAATAAAATTAGAGATTAATATAGTTTAGCGATTATCTCTACGGTTGATAAAATTAATAAGGTTTGGATGAATTTAAACGATTGTGAATTAATTATGAGGAACACTTAGCCTACAATTTATCTTTTGTATCTTGTTTATTCTACAATTTAGATCAAGTCTTTATTTAATAGATATATTAGTTTCTTAGTTTAATATTTTAGTTTATAATCATCATCCAGATTCGTTAGTCTAGATAATATTTAATCGTTATCATATTATTATTTAATTAATTTAACTATAATCTTTGTTGAATACAATCTTTGCTCGTTACTTGCTATAGTTACTCCGTACGTTTGCAGATAGCAAAAATTATTAGCAAACTCTAGTCCCGGTGAAATGGAAATTTGCCAAATTGCAAGCACGCTGAAGGACTTGACATAGTGAAGTTGAGGAGAAAATATGAAATTCTCGGATGAATAAGGATGTTTGTGCCGTACGAGAACGAGCGGGCTTAAAAGTTCCATATCAAACAAATATTAAAGTCTACTGTTTTCAATTATACTCTTGAAAATTAGAAACTAATTAATTAACTAATTAATGTCAAATCACGATTCACGTTTTTAACATCTAGCCCAAAATTTAATTTGGGCTAATTTAACTTGAGCCATAGATGTCAAAAGCCCAATTAGAGGAGTAAACAAGCCAAGTCAATCCAAATCGAGCTCGACTTGTTAACTAAATGAGCCAGTTATTGAGCTCGAACTCGAGTTCATTTTTTAATATTCACGAGTCGAATGACATAATATATAAGAAACATATTATTGAGCTTTAGTAAATCAAGCTTGGCTCGTTAAACAAACGAGCTTTCGAGAAGCTTGGTTTGGTTTAACGAGCCAAGCGAGGTCACGTGCGACTCGTTTTTATTAACAGTTATATGTTTATTTATGTGTGTTTGCGGGTCCATCAAGGCGACGAGTTTGTTATTTTATGGAGTTTTTAAGAGTTTTATGGTTTATTTAATGTGGTTACATAGAAAACAAAAAAATGTATGTAATTTCGTCCGTTGACAAAATTAAGTCGTCGGCACCTGCTATTTTTACTGATAGAGTGGGTTGCTCATGGGCCTCTTTTGTATACAGAGCCTTCAGAAGGCTGGAAAAACAATAAACATAATGGAGAGAGAGAGAGAGAGAGAGAGAGAGAGAGTTACATATACTTAGGGTGTATTTTTTTTATGTACTTTCTGATGATCTTCAAGCCCCCCGATCCTTGCTTTTGATAGAAGCAGAGGTCATTAAAATATTAATTATTTTTTTAGGACATGTGGTGGCTTCTGATTGGATACATGGTGACACGTAGCAAAGTGGTTTATAATCTCTTTGGGTGGTGGTTCAGGAAAATAACCCTTTTCACATTGGCTTAAGACTATGCTCAAATGGGATGATACCGACTGAGGACGACCTTTCTTCTGGAAGAGATCGACATGTATGCCTTGTAGCTGGGAGCAAGCTCGGCTCAATATTGTCTCGGCGCCTTTCCTTCTGGCAAGAGAACTCATGATCATCTGAACTTCGCGGAAGATGCGTGGGTTGGACCGATGATGGCGTCAATTCATTTTAAGAGTCTATTTTTAGGTAGGACAAAATTCATGCATCAACAAATCCCAACATATATGAAACTCAAACATGCACATGAACGAGCATCTTATTAGTTTTCCCGAATACAAGAAATCCAATAAAATCTTCAAATATATAAGAGAAATTGACTTCATTTTTTTTTTTTTT